ACCCATAAAGGTTGGCTTGATCTGTGCAATTGTGCAATGCGGACTTGTCTGTGTCTATGTTTGTTTTAGGGTGCAGATGGTGAACCAGGTCCTCGTGGGCAGCAGGGCATGAATGGGGCAAAAGGAGATGAAGGAACTAGAGGCTTTAAGGGAGGATCTGGTCCTTCTGGACTACAGGTAAAAAAAAAAAAAAAGCACTGAATTTCAAGAGTGACTATGTCTCCATAATTATAATAGAGTATTTCCTTTCCCTTCTCATGCCTATCACTATACTTCTTTGTAGGGAATGCCAGGACCACCAGGGGAGAAAGGAGAGAGTGGGCATGTTGGCTCAATGGTGAATACTCCACAGCAATCTCAGCACATACATCATTCATCTCATGTCCATTAGGTCCACTGCTGCTTTCAGGTTGCTTCTGACTCATCACTTCTCTGAGATCTTGCATCATTATCTTTTTGACTACCCATAATCTTTTTCAATATTAAACACTATTTCTCACTTCATCTAAAAACCTTTAAATATGTTTCTTTAATTTTTTCACTTTATCAAGAACAGTTTAATCTCTTTGAAATTCAAACATGTATGTATTTAGTAATGGGAAACAATTATTTACAAGAAAGATATTAAACCATAGGATCTGTAGCCTTTGCAAATAGTGTGTAACTTTACACATTTACATGATATACATTTTTCCTCATCCATGATGAGGAAATTGGGCATTACAGTGGTGCAGTGGTTATCACTGTCGCCTCACAGCAAGAAGGTTTGAATCCCAGTGCAAAGACATGCAATTAGCTGAGTTATATTATTTGGTGATTTTAAATTGGCTGTAGGTGTGAGTGCAAATTTCAGGCTGTCTAGCATGTCCACCGTGTAACCCTCATCTCGTCCTATGACAGCTGGGATAGGCTTCCGCCCCACGCTAGCCCCGAGTTGGATAAGTGGAGGAAAATGGTCTTATTAGCATTATTTTGTGTGAGATTATAGAAGTTATTGCCCAGCTCATACAAATGAAACAGCTTTTTCTTGGTCCCAGCATTCCTTTTGACTTATTACTTTTGCATTTTCCCGCAGAACAACAAATACCATCCCCTTTCTGTGGGACTAAAAGGAGATGGAAAGACAAAGCTGGCAAGATTAGAATAATTCATTAAAAAATGCACCACTATTTAGTTCATTATGTTTTGTTATAATTTCTGTTTCTGGATAGAAAATAATAGAATAGCTATGAGTATGATAGTTTTCTCCAGGACAATAAACATAAAAAGAATTAAAGAAAGAATAAGTGATGAAATTCAGTAAGTGTATAATAGAATATGCCTTTATTTTAGAGAGATAGCTCCAATGAAAAGATGTAATAGCTAAATGTTATTTTAGGATATACATTTTTTTTAAATTACTTATTATGGAAAAAAAAGACTTCTAATGAGACAACAAAGGAGGCAAAATTGTTTTATTTTTAAGATTCTGGTGTTTGTATTGCACAGTTTTAAGGTATCTGCAGTCAATAGTTGGTACACAGACGCCCCACCTGAGCTTTAATTAGTACTACCTATTTAGTTCATTAGCACCAGCTGTGCTGAATCTGCTGCTGTGGTTTAAACTTGTGAGTCACCCTTTCCTCTGCCGATAATCATTAACATTTACTACCCTGAAACTGTGGGATGTGTTGTTGAGTGGGGCTGGTTTTTCTGAGGTCAGTGATTAGTGCTGATGTTTTTACAAGAGGTAAGACTGCTATCCAAAGAAAATCCAGTCTTGGCTTTTCCAGTTTATTGTGAGCCAAATGCACACAAATTAAAGAGGAGTCAACTACATCCTGAAATAAGGCTGTTCTGTCAAAGCTTGTGTAGGTTTTCTGTGGATACACTGGTCGCCTTTCACTGTCGAAAGAAATGCACATTAGATTAAGTGGTGATTCTAAATTGGTTTTATTTATGGATGTGAGTGGGAATCACTGTATGTGTCCCTGCAATGGACTGGCAACCTTCCTAGGATGTACAACACCTCCTGGCCAGTGATAGCTGAGCTCCAGCTGCTCTGGGACCTCATGTGGACAAGTGCTTAAGAAAATGCCTCCAGTAGTGTTCCCCTTAAAACATGCTTGAAAACCGTAATAAATAACAAATTCCACCTTGGAGGAATTTATGAAAACCTAGCTATATTTGTGTTTTCCCAATAACAGACATTTTGATACGCAGGCAGTGTGACTTGTCATAACAGCAAAAGCACAAGTGAAACTAATAATGTTAACTACGGTTCCGCTCCAGGTAATGATCCCAGTAAGCCGTGTCAGAGAGCCAGCATGCACAATATCATAGCGAGCAAAAGATTTTAGTAGAGACATATCACAGCAGTGACATAATGACACGCTTAACAAATGAGCAATCCTTAAGACTTCTTATAGTCCCTCATTAGCTCCATAGCAGTCAATGTTATGCTGACAGGTCAGTCATTAAAATCTGGCATGTAAATTTGGGCATTTGGTTATATTTTATAAATAATTATTATTAGTAGAAAGAAAACTATTTAAATGCATTAACCTGAAATATCGCTACATCATTTTTAATCTGTGATTTAAGGCCAAGATTGAAAAGTAGTAGTACTCAATAGACCTTGGCTTCATGTGTAAGAAAGATTATCCCAGGAAATGAATAGGTCATTCTGTATGTGAAAGAAAGAAATAAGATAAATAAAAACAGAAAAAGAAGCAGTGACATAAAGGAGGCAGTGGAGCAATGGAGTGGAAGGAAGAGGCGGGGCTCTTATTGTGAGCAGGAAGACGGTGTGACAGCTGCTAATCAGATTAGCCTCAGCCTTGGCCGTCTAATGAGCATCCTCCTTTGTGACAGTCATCTCACAACGCTGTCAGCCATGAACACACGCTCAACAAGATTCTCTATAGCCCCTCTTCTCCACAGCCAGATTAGGGAGGGAATGCATTAAAATGGAACCAAAACAAGAGAGAGGGAGAGAAGAGAGATGCTGAGGACTCAGTGGGGAAGTTTCATTCATGTGTGAGTGCCGCGGATCACAGAATTCTTCCCCCTAATGCCGAAGTATTTCTCCACCAGAAGGATATGTGTTTCCTCTAGTCCCACATAGTCTCTCTCTGGGCAGATTGTCTGTCTTTCTGTTTCAGTGTCTTTACAACACAAGACTTCAGAGTGATTCAGAGCGCGTCTCAGCATCTACTCAACTGAAACTGAAGCCGAGCACATTTAGGATTAATTGCTTGGCGCTCTCTCGAGCAACACAGAAGAGTCAAATCACATGCTGTCCCTGGTTTGAAGAATATGGTCTTGCGCATCACAGGATAGATGTTTCTTATTAATAAGAGAGAATATGAGAGAGGATGTTTGGGGAATTTGAGAACGAATCGGAGCCTGTGTCATACTGAGGATAACTGTCTGACCTGTGTGGATGTCTTCACCGTGTCACTACGATAGCAAGCATAGATACTTAGTTCCATATCATTAACAATTCAACATGGACTTAAATTCAAAAGCACTAGCTAATGCACTACTTACATTCAGTTACATTCAGCTGCATTTCTGTTGTTATTATTATCATTATAACTTTTAGTTAAACATGTCATTTCTGTCTTCACAGGGGCCTCCAGGACAGCCGGGTCCACGCGGTCCTCAAGGGCCAATTGGGGGAGAGGTGGTTTTTTCATTTTTTAAAATATCTTTTTTAATTACATACCTAGATATAAATACTGCACTATTATACTACATTTGTTACAAAGGTAGTTTCAATACACATAAAGACAGAGACAACTATACATGTACAAAAAGTAAAATAATTAAAAATTAAGTAATATTTTCTGCAAGTTCCATCACTTGCCCACAGTCTTGAAAAATCTCAAAGCACTCATTGTGGAGCATGATCTAAATTCATTTTTATTTTAATATCAGAGGCATTTTCAGTTTTCAGTTTTATTTGTCATATGCAAGTTAGCACAGGGTCAACATTGCAATGAAATGTGTTTGACGAGCAGCAGTCACTCAGCAGCATGATACAGTAGGAGAAAATATAATAAAATA